AGAAGGCGAGAAGGGCGGAGGCGAGTTCCCCAAGTACGTATGTTTCACCTGCGACTCTGTACAATGTGGCTCATACTGTTGACCAGGTATTTCGCGGGAGAAATCATCGGCAATGTGCTGGAACTGGAGCCTCGAAGATGGAGGCGGCCAAAACGCATCGATTTTAGGAGCAACAAGGAGCGGGTTTTGGAGTTCAAGAAGAAGTATGATAAGTTCGACTGGACAGGAATGATTGGTCAAGAATGATTTTGTTATGTACTTATTGTATTATCCCTGACATTGTACACGATGAAGGTAAGGTAGCCAAATCGCAGTTGGTCTCCTAGTGAATTGTCTCGCATGTTACTTCCCCGATGACAATTCAACCACTGTCTTCACGTCGAAATATTTGTGCGGCAAGAATGTACAGCATACAAGTAAAGTGGAAGAACTACAGTAAGGTGCTAATGCCCTCCTCGACCCACCAAACGACTGCGCCCAAAGGCAGAACTGTGCAAGCAAGTGTCGGGTTAATCGTTCACGGTATTATGATCAGTCATCTTACAAACGCGATCCATTTCCACGAATATTTGAAAGCAAGGCACTTTCCAAAGCAGAGGCAGACAGGCTCGTGTCTTAGAATATCTGAGTTTAAACAACGGCGAGTATAGGTTCGTTTACATGCTCACCGCTGATGTCACTGAAGCTGGAAGCTTCTGAGTCATTATTGCTTCCTTGTTCGTTGACGCCTCGCTCCACAAGTGGGCCATACCGTCGGTGTGATTGGCCCAGTGCACTCCGGGGAGACAGAGTTGGTGGGCTCGATGATTTACTCGGAGAAAGATGTCTGCTGATCGGCGAATGAGGCTGGGAATCTGGTGGAGGCGAAGGAATGTCGGGTATAGAGCCGTGCGCAGAACTGGCACTAGACACGCTAAGTGGACTGGAATAACTGTCGCGTCGGAAGCTTCGCTGCATCGCGGAAGCTCCTGCAGCCGCTACGCCAACCCGACCACGGTAGAACTCCCTAACCTTACCCTTGCCTGAAACGTCAGGTCGAGAAGCAGCGCTAACGAGCCCTAATGCGTCATTCGTCACCATCTGCTGCAATTCCTGCAGTTTACGGTCCAGCGCCTCCTGCTCTTCAGCATTCCGATCCGCCTCCTCCTCCTTTTTTGCCTCTTCGTCTTCGGAATCGGTGCCTTCCTCCGATGAAGCAGGCGAAGTTGGACTGAGCGGTCGATGCATCTTCTTGGGACCCTGCACAGTGAGCGTTGAAGACGAGGTCGCCTGTTTGGGCCGTGGAGAATTATTGCCAAGGGAGCTAAGACGTGCTCGGACGCCCAAAGGCGTCGAAAGTCGTCCAGAGGGTGACATGCTACCACTTCCAGTCAGGCGACTGACGGCGCGGGAAGCTACCGTCTGCTTCTCGGTAAAGGGGGAGTCGTCAAAAGGTTTGTTGGCATGTTGTGCAGTAGAAGGGCTCGAAACGCCGGGAATGTCTTGTAACCCGCGAAGTTCTTCTTGGAACCTGGCATGTACACGATAAAGCAGATATGGAAGGGGAACTTCCAAATGAGCAGCAAGGCCCTTCCCTGCGGTATATAGTTAGCCTACGCGCAGCGGTTGACGTATGCCGCACAGTCGGTGCCTCCATTGTCTGTAGATCGAGAGCGCTCAATCACTTTCCAAAGGATATCCGCCTTTTCAGAGGTCCATTCTATCTATACATGAGAATAAAAAAGACACGGAAGCAGCAGATGGTACACATACTCGAGGGGGGTCAGCTAAGGGGTGCTCCGGTCGATTCCAAGGTAGTCGAACTACCACGCGCATGTTCGGGGCAGGCGCAGCTGCGGGCATTTCAGAAATATAGGTTCTCGAGGATAAGAGAGGAACTGAGATCCGCGAGGTAGAATACGACCGCTGCAAGTGGGAGTAGCTCGGTAGGAGCGGTCACGCGTTCAACTTTATGCTCATTCCCTCACGTCCGCCGTCCAGTTTGCTGCCAAGGCGGCTTCGTCGCGCATTCCATGACCAACGCTGGCCAGGATGGCAGGTAATCATTGGCATTGAGACCCACGCCCAAATCAAGTCGCGTGAAAAGCTATTCTCCAGTTCGTTTTGGATCTTCACCTTCGCACAACCCATTTGAACCCGCGACACCAGACTCATTGACCTCAAGTCTTGGTGAGGCGCCTAACACGCATGTGTCTCCCTTCGACGCCGCATTCCCTGGGACGTTGCCTGTCCGTCGCCCACGTTAATATCCCTGACACAATCGTAACTCTGTGCGGATGCAGAAACTCAACCAGAATTGCGCAGACCTGGCACTGCGAACCGCTATTGCCCTCAATTCCAAAATACAGACAAGGTCTTCGTTTGACCGCAAACACTACTTTTATTCGGATCTGCCTGCGGGATATCAAATCACGCAGCAGTACGGTCGGCCCTTCTGACTCCTTCTATGTGCTTAATATTTATTTTGACGAGCAGCGCCAATTGCGCTGAAGGGCCACCTACATATCCCTAACCGTGATTCTCCAATACGAATAAAACAGATTCAGCTCGAGCAGGTATATCACTTTCGTCGCAGTGTTTTTTTTTGCCAGCCAACAGCGGACATACAGGATACCGCGAAATCCACGTTTGACCCACGCACTCGCACATCCAACATTGACTTGAACAGAGCTGGGACGGGGCTTCTTGAGATCGTCACTGAACCTGATCTTCGGTTCGTTCTGTTGTCAACTATCAATATTTTAACCGGTTAATGTTGTGAAATAGGTCACCCGAAGAGGCTGGTACCTATGTGCGCACACTCCAAGCCGTGCTCCGCGCTATAGGTGCAAGCGATGGCAATATGGAAGCTGCAAGTGATCTATACACGAATGTATCCCTGTCTTGAACATCAAACAGGGCTCTCTGCGATGCGACGTCAACGTATCCGTAAACCCCATCGGTAAACCACCCGGTACGCGCTGTGAGATCAAGAATCTCAATAGTGTCAAGTTTATGCAGGCCGCTATCAGTCGGTCTTCATTTTTCTACGCGTTTGCCAGTTCATAATCTCGAGAATAGTCTACGAAGTTCATCGACAACGAGCTCTTCTATCTGGAGAAGACGCTGTCGTTCCGCAGGAAACCCGGGGATTCAATCAGGATACCTTTGAAACGTTCAAGATGCGCTCGAAAGAGGAAGCACCCGATTACCGGTACATGCCAGACCCGAATTTAGGGGTGCTGTTTATCACTCCTGTAAATCGAACTTCTGTTTCCTTCCACGATCTAACACGAACTCGCACTGACAGGAAAGAATTCAGCAAACGACGCAGACGATGCCAGAACTTCCTTGGGCAACACGAATCCGTTTATTGGAAACGTACCAACTCTCAGAGCAGGATGCGGATATTCTGCTCAACTTGGAAAGCGGACGAGACCACGATGGTGGGGCAGTAGCTTATTTTGACCGTCTGTGCAAGGAAGAGAGAAATCCAAGGGTCGTCTTCAATTGGTGAGTGTATACTTTTTTCGAGGCAATAATTCGTCGACAATAACGTTAGGATGGTGCACGAGCTCCTCGGACGTTTGTACGCCGCTAAATTGACATTCGCGGATAATCCGCTCTCAACAAGCCAGCTGGGCGAGCTCATCGACTTGGTGCACCGTGGGGCCATCACTGGTATTGATTGATGCAGCCTCTAAGCGTCGTGGATGGCTCACAAAATCTTAGGTACCTCGGGGAAATTGCTCCTGCGAGAAATGCTCTCTGAGCCATCCTCTTCACAAACTCCGACGGAACGAGCACGATCACTATTTCTTCTGTCTGCCCCCCATGATGCGCTCGATGTAGCTGATCTCTGTACCGCCGCGATAGCTGCACTCCCAGCAGAAGCCTTGGCATTCAGAAATGGACGCACAAATGTACTGAACAAAATTTTGGGCTGGGTGATGAAGGAAAGTCGAGGAAGGGCGAATTCGACGGAAGTCATGGTGCGCTTGGTAGATCTCTTAAAACAGGACGGAGCGGACAACGTTTAGACACAAGGACCCCCGCGCGCGCGGTACCGGAGAGGTGGTCGAAGGCAAGGCTTTCAGTTCTCTAAGAACAGCGCTTCAGACATGGGGCGAGGGGTGGATATATTAATACTCTACGGGAATTCCCGTACCAATCCAGCCCGCATCCTCTGTGATGCCGAGCTCTATAGCAAAGCATTCAAGGTTCGACCTGGTAGGCACCTTCATGCCTTTGACTTTGCCGCGGTCGGTGTATGAAAACCAAGCGATATCTTCAATCCCATCTCTGTATGGATAACAGTCCATGTGAAGTTCGAGCCCCAACTCTTTTGCCACCCTGGAGATCGTTATGCGCTTGTACGAGGTTAGAAGGTACTCGAGGGGCAATGGGATATCGTGGGCGGCCCAGTAGGTTTTTATGAGCTCGTCAGTGACCGTATAGCCGTATAGGCACTCCTGGCCGTGGAGGGAGGTGGGGACGGGAGGGGGTGCCTCTGTATCGTCGGGTCCGAGTCGGCGGCGCCTGTGTCGCTTTATTAAAGATCGACAGTCAGTTTGCGATAGTTATCACTCACGGCGTGGAAACTTGAGACTTGGGTTCTGGTGATCCTTGACGCAGATGCAGAGGGACGAACGATGGGTAGGTGGGCAGGTAGGTCACAGTGGTAGATTGGTGATCAAGACTCTGCATGAAAACAAATTCTGTAGCAATTCAGATTCTGCGCTATCGAGATCTATGATGGACTTGCACGAAGGGTTGTTGTTGGGTCGTGGTGGCAGAACCTGAAGCTGAAGTTGAACTCTTTGTGGCTCGGAGGCTCCTATTTGGAACAAGTGTGACCGTCACACTTGGTTCGGACATCACATGCAAACTCTCCGGTCCAGGACTCCAGAAACAACTGGTCTGGAAGCTGGAGGAGGCCAAAAAAGGACCTGAAAGAGAAAAGATATACAGAACGATCATCGCAAGGGTCGAACCTTGCTCTGAATTCAAAGCAAAAAAAATGACCACCGCAGGGGTCGAACCTGCAATCTCCTGATAACGTGTGACACCCAATCGTAGTCAGACGCGATGCCATTTCGCCAGGCGGCCATGAAAAGCTGTCCGACGCTAGCCTATACCACATATTTTGTTGACCGTTGCAACATGGACTACCATACTCTTTATAGAATTACACCATGTGGACAAAATGATTGAACGATGGGTTTCTGAGCAATTATGGCATATTTCGACTCAAACTAAGATGTCAGATTGTCAAGAGAGTCGACGCTTGGTCGACGCCGATGTTTCTAGCACATTGATGAGATCAAAACAGTTTGATGTGCCATCGGAACAGTCCAAATCCGAAAATTCGTGTTTTCTGGCTCAATCAGTAATTTTTTTTTGGTGAATCTGAATCAACCAGATTGTAGCCTGGGATATGCCGATCAGTTCCCCACTTTGAATCATACAAAAATATATAGCCAATAGCATGCTACAGCGGCTGCAAGATGGCCATTTTGGACACATTTTGCTATTTTTGGGCCATTTTTGTAGGCTCGAACCCAGCAGCAAAACACCAGCACTTGACTTTGGATGATAATTGATCCAAAGGTGATGGCGAAGCGGCTGGAGCTTTCTAACCGGCAGCTAGTACGGTCGGAGATTGCCAACATAGGTAGCTTTGACTTGGAAAATTTACGCTTCATGGAAAAATCAAAGTCATATAATCAAAAATCTGAGGAGATCGATTGTCATCAATTTCTGCCGTCTCGAAAAGGGACTGCCTCGAGTCTACCATTTTTGCTGTTTTTGCCCACTTTGCAGCTGCTATAGCGCATTATTGCCTCTATTTTTTTTTGCATCATTCAAAGTGGAGAGCTGATTGGCGTATCTCAGGCTACAATCTGGGTGATTCAGATTCTCAAAAAAAAAAAAAAAAAAGCAGTTCCTGAAAATAATGGCAAGCACAGTTTTTTTTTTGTGCGATTCCCAAAAAGTAAACTCCCCGCTATACAGAGCAATATCCTTCCCAGTGGTGCATCTGGAAGCTTGGAATGGATTGTATTTGGCTAGGAATGATGTTGTGAGCCACTTGGAGAGTTCCCCCACCGGAAACATATGTGCATGCCGATAGGATATGTCAACTTGATGTCAACACCGAATCCGGTTGATCAAAATTTGAAATTGTGTTGTTCTATACATCTATGGGGTCTAGACATCTAACTAAGATATCCACTGGATTTTATGCCTACAGGTGCTGAAGAATGCTCGTGGCGGCTCCCGGACAGTACAAGTTTCCTTTTTGGGATGTGCCTGAAAAAAATTGTGTTTGTCATTCTTTTCAGGAACTGCTGTCAGCCAGAAAACACGAATTTCCGTATTTGGACTGTTCCGGTGGCACATCAAACTGTTTTGATTTCATCAAAGTGCTAGAAACATCGGCGTCAACTCTCTTGACAATCTGCGACATCTTAGTTTGAGTTGAAATATGCCGTAATTGTTTAGAAACGAAAACCCATCATTCAATCATTTTGTCCCCATAGGGTAGGTCAAGGGTAGGTGGGTCCTGGTGCTCCCTTAGGCAAGGATTCACAGTGTTCTGGCCCTGTGTAACCGAACATTGGCTACATGCACACACGGCAATTAGCTAAATTTCCAGCGATGGGAAGTTAGCTCAAATTTGTGAAGTGTCCGATTAGGTATCTGTTGAGCAGAAATCAGCGCGGAAATTAGAGGAATCAAGTGTCGGAAAAATCCTGAATTGCATGTAACGACTTCGAATATGTTGTGTGACGTCGCAAGGTCATTGGGATTTGAGTGGCTTGCAGTAAACAGGTCAGGTTCTTGAAAGAAGTCCCAAGGCACCCCCCGACTCTCAAGATGTCCCAAGGTTCTGTTTGCCAAATTGTCTTTGGACACATCTCAAGGTGTCCAAAGCCGCATTTGGATTTCTCAAGGCACTACTGGGCATACTACAATATCTGGTATTGAATGCAGCATACAATAGTAGGAATCCAAGAAAAAAAATATTCATGAAACACCTAGGTGTAGGTACAGTGTTATATACCGAGCCAGAGGGGAACCGGAGGGATCCTGTGGAAGTCCGAAACCAGAAGAGGTCCGGAGTTCGGAACAGGGCCGGAGGTGAATGTCGGCTATTTTCGCAAGCACCACAGCTCGGAAGGGTGTGCGACCACTGGACTGCCAAGCCGGGACGAAATGGAGAAGTTCCACTACCGGAGATCGGTTGGATGATGATCGGATCAAAGATGATATATGAACCGCAACGGCCGAAGGTTGGTCGGAAGTGAAGTTGAAGTACAAAAATAGACATCCGGAGGTTTGACATAGCTCCGGAGTCAAGACGGAGTGAAGATGAAGTATAAAAATAGACATCCGGAGGTTTGACGTAACTCCGGAGTCGAGACGGAAGTGACGATGAAGGAGAGGACTCAGTCCATGAAGGGAAACATGGAATAACGTTAATTTTCCAGCTGAAGTACAAGACATATCTAGGGACATATTTATACTAAAGTCCGTTATTGTAATCCTAAATCTGGATAAGTAATGTGACCGATGCGTAGACAATAAGTCACTATCCAAATGAGGAACGAGAAGAGAAGAGAAGTCCGAAACAATAAGAGGACTTCGGATAAACGGATAAACGGGAAAATAGCTAATAATAGATCATGACATAATATACCGGAAGGTCGGAGATGGACCCGGAAGGTCGGAAACAGAGTTCAGCAGGAATGGGACTGGAAGTGGGAAAACCGAAGTTTGGCGGATAGTCCGAGATGGTCCGGATGGACCCGAAAGTCCGGAGTTTCGGAGTTTCAGAGTTCGGAGTTCGGAGTTCGGCTGGAGTCAGAGTGCATGGATATAACATACAGTCAAAACACACACTACAGCCCATGGTGGTACAGAGATACAGTGCAGAGGGAGCTAGGCATTAGCGTGGATATAGCGGGAGCACCATCTGCCCCAGTCTAACGGGCGGCAGGGTATGTGAAGGGGAAGCAGGGGTACGTACCTGTATTCATCACTCTCCATAACATTCCAACATGCACTTTGCTTTAGGTCAGTAGGAGATCAATGGTGAAGAGGCGACGGACATACCTTATCACATTTGACGGAATTCCGCAGGATTGTGGAGTACTGGCACGAGACATCAGCAATGAAGATGGAAGTGAGAGTATAGTGGTTGCTTACCGGGGTGTTGGGGAGGGCGCCGGCGTCGGGAAGAGGGTGTAGGGAGGTGGTGGAACAAAAGCAAGAGAGGTGGAGTCACACAGTCACAGGCTGCAGATTGATATACGCATGGCCAAAGCATGACATCAGTCACTCCACCTTGCCACTCCACAGCTCCTTCAAGACCACTCGTCGTGACTCTAACTCACGTCCCCTTGCAATGCCTCCTCAGAACCTCACTCGTCGTACGGACTCCAAGATAACTCATGTCTCCGACTCTGAACTGGAGCGGGAAGCTTCCCGACTGGACCATGCCCACTCATTCTCTTCGAACTCGTCCGAACGGTCTCTGCCTGCCACACCCCCAACTGAGCGTCCGCCTCTTTCGTCACTCTCAAATACTACTTTGGCCACAGTGTTAAGGTTTAGTGTTTTACGAGCGTAAGTCAGTAGTAGATACTGAAGTCGTGAGTGATGTTTTTATAGTTTACCAAGTTAGTCGTAAGTCGTAAGAGCATATCTGAGTAATGCAGATAGCAAGATTTGTAAATTCTCAATATGAGTGAACTCAAACTTAAATCAGTCAAACAGAATCACACTACACGGGTGACCTTGCAACTCAGTGGGCAGCGGCTTAACAAGAGTATACAAGGCACTAAGTTCCTATAGACAGCAAGGCTAGGTCTTAGTTTGAATCAGCTATAGGCTATATGAGCTAGCTTCTTCGAGGTTGGGTGCAGAAGTGCTACGTGATGGATTGAAGTAAAGATGTGGTGCCGTCACATGAGGACAGGCTCTCATATATATAGGTAAGGATTGTGGATGCTAGAAGGTTCTTCATAGCAGGAGAACATTCTTGTGAGGTACTAGAATGTTCTATAACACAGAAATAATGAATGTGCTACAGGGTTGCACAAATGTTCTAGAATGTTCCAGGGAGTCCAAGATTATTCTCAAAACATCTCACAGGTGCTGTATGAGTAAAGAAACATCTACATAGATTGACCATGTACTTAACCATAAGGGTTTAGCACTTAAAGAATGTGAAAACATGTGGGAAACATGTTTTTATAGTGAGCACGAGTTCAAATCAAACTCTGATGGCTCCGATCAAATACTGATAGATGTGAACATACTTGAGTTTAAGTCGTTTGGAGGCTTAAGCTTACTTCCGAGTCAAGGCTAGGACTCAGAATAATGCCTTAGAAGTGTGTCTGCACTCTCAAGCCATTAATAAAATATTTATGACCAGTTATGCGCAGAGAATTCAATAAGACGGTGAATTCCATAATATTCCATAACACACGGAGCCTGGTGCACTGCGCTCCCTCGACAGATGTCTCCAAGCCATTGAAGGAAGTCTTGCCGAGATAAAGAGGGAGCTCCATGTTCAGAGTGTGTATTACTGCTATTGCACCTGGCGTCCACTGATGAATGTCGTAGAGCGAGACAGAACCTCGTTGCGCGACGCTTCGACCACTCTCACCCCGCCACGCAAACGTGCACGTGTCATGCGCAGCCAGTGTGTTGGCTGCGACTCACTTGTCGGTCACCTGACAGAGCGCTGAATTCACCGCAGCTCCTTGATGGCGAGCACTTTGGACCAGGAAGAGATGGCTCAGTCCTTACATGCGGACTTCCTGTGCCTTCAGCGCCAATCTCTACGCTGGCCATATCAGCAACGAGGAAGTCCGTCCGCTCAAATGTAATAGTAGTATGAGCAATTTTATTTCATTCAAAAAAATCTAGATGATTTTGTATTCAATCATCTCCTTCGTCTCGAGTAGCAGCGAGGTGGGGGACTGGTGTTCTCATGCCCGGATGAGGACGACCCAGCGTGTCATGATTCGGCTCAGTTGCCCAGATTAACCCACGGTAACCCGGTCACATGACACTCCATCAACTATCGCAAACCCGAT